TACTCATTGACGGTGGGACGATTGCATATACACGAGCGGTCTCGTCACCTTCGGTCTTGGTACCGGTGCTGCTGGCGGAGAAAATCGGGACGTATCACAGATTCCGTGCCTCTGGCCGTCGATCATTGGGTTGTTTCTTTTTTTTCAATTAAGGTCAAGAAGGATTCAGGACAGCGGAGCCTTCATCATCCGTGCGGCGCACTGCTGAGGCGAGTTGTCAATTACCTGGATTCTCGGTTCCTGATGAAGATCAGTGGCCGCAGTCGAAGAATTTTGAGTGAGGGTGTGTAAGCAGGGACGCATCTGACGGCAGTTATGGACGAATTCAGACATAAAAGTCCGAGTTTGACTATGCATAATAGGAGTCAGAGCAATATGCTCACACGCGTCTGAGATAAATGCGGCCAGATTCGGAAGAGAAAGTCCTACTGAGTGTGCCCAAGAATCTCAGGAAAGAAACAAAAGAAAAAGGACCACACGTCCACAGGGACCACAGTCACGAGGTCATGTTTAGAGCAGCCTCATAGGACTACTCAACGCATCCGCGCCAAATCAAGGAAAGATCACAGAGGGCGTACTCGTACCAGGACTTTTATACATATTTCTTGTTGTAACTGCGGTCGGATACATCCTAGTAGTGCCATGATAACGGTCAGATACATTTAAGATTGTGATAGGTGAGTATGCTCTGAGGCTAGAGGTTTCATGCAGACATGATGTAATGTAACTGACATTCCGTGGGGGCGCGGGCTGCCAGCCCGTAGTCTGCAGCGGACTCTGTAGAGGGACTGAAGCGGGGGTGGTCATTTTGCCATGACATGTGACTGAAGAGGTGGTCATTTTGTCATGACACGAGATTGCCTCCCTTCCCATCCCACAGTCCTTACCCCCATCATCCATCCTCCCTCTTCGCTGCTTAGAGGGGGAATATCGCTTGGCTCCTATCTACTGATTCACTGGTCCAGCTCCCCGCCCAAAGCCCACTATGAGCGTGTTGGTGGACATGGCGTTCGTGAAGCATTCACGAACGCCCAGGGGTGTTTTCGCTGACATCCTTGATAGCATCATCGAGCGTATAAGGAGAAAGGAGTCGGCGTTCCGGAAGTCCATATCGCCTGGCAAGGTCTTCGCCGCGGCCATCTACCTCTTCGCTAACGGCAACACGTATAGCATCATCACAGGGAAGTTCGGAATAGGATTAACTGTAGAGCGCTGTGGTCACACGGTCATGGAAGCGCTCATCGAACAGCATGTTGTTCATGGTTCTTAGTTGCGGTTTTTGGATAGGGAGGCGTGGTGAAAGTTGTTTTTATCTTTCCAGATGCAGGGTCTCCCTTTTTGCGCATGCGCGATTGACTGCACGTGTGTCGCTGTTGAATGACGGAGTTGGGAGGATGCATTCCCTGCAGTCTATTTCAACAAGCACCACAACTATCGCGTGGTTTTGCAGGCAGTTGTTGATCATGATTACTGTTTCCTCACATCACAGTGGGGTGGTTTGGTAGGATTTTGACTCCCGTACACTGCTAAAAATGCTGTTGTTGTAGCGTTTTGAACAAGAGATGTCGCTTTTCACAGCTTGGGGGGCTGACATGACCATTGCGGGACGTCAGGTGCGTCGATACCTCAACGGGTATAATTGTTTCCCCCTCCTTCCATGGTTGGTCATGCCTTTCATGAGGGTGCAACTGCATGCGGATGCGATGAGGCAAAAGCTCAATGATGTCATCCCATCCAGCCGGGAGGTGGTGGAAGGGAAGTTTTGCATCCTTCACAGCAAGTTCATCGCGGCCATGAAGACGGTGGGGGATCAGGTCGGTCTGCATTCCTGCACTTTGTGAGAGGCGGTTAACGAAGGCCTCAGTTTTGAGACAACTTCTCACGCCATTCATAACAAAACACAAGGGTCATTTTAACCAAACTTGCCACCAATTCATAGAGTGGAGAAACTACTTACAAACTAGGATACCAGAGTGGCCCGGGTCCACTTGCCCGGCCGGGCCAAAAAGAAATAAAAAAATAAAGGCAAAAAATATTTTTTAATTTATATTTTTAAAATTTTAATTTTAAATTTGGTAAAGAATTTTGATGTGACCCTGAGGCAAGAGTTGTTCAGTTTATTTTTCTGCGTAACATAGTTTTTTTTCATATATTTTTTTTTTGGCAGGGACCTTCACTAGTCCTTGCACGGCTGGGCCACCCGGGAAAATAGGGTGGCTGGGACCTTCCCTAGTCCATGCACGGATGGGCCGCCCGGGAAAATAGGGTGACCCGGACGGCCCGGCTGGTAGCCTAGCTGACAAACAAAATAAATGAAAAGGAAACTTAGAAAACCTATAAAACAGCAAGGCAAGAGTGTACTTTCATGAAATTTTGCCAACATTCCAAAATCTCATTGGATGATCAGAGGAAATTCCAATGGCCCAAATGATACCAAATTTGCCACACAGCAACCTTAAACCAAAACAAAAACAGGCAGAAAAGAAAAACAACAAAAGAAATAAAATTTGATTCAGTTTTGGACTCGTCACTCAGGAGCTGAAATTGGGGGTCTTTGTTAACCACTTGCAGCTCCCGAGTAACGGGTCCAAGGGTCTTTATCGGCGTCCTTGTCACCAATGTCGTTGTTATCATCAGCGTCGGTTGTCTTCTTCCCCATTATGGCAGACTTGAAACAATTGGGGTGTTGAGCGGGGGTGGAATATGGCGCCCCGGGGCGCGGCAGGCATATTGGTAGGGCCTTTGGCCATCACATGTGTGGTGGTGGGGGGGGGTTGTGTGTGGCGTGTGGAAGAGTGCTGGCCATAGACATTGCTGTTACTCTATGAGTGTGGGGGAAGTAGATGGGAGGCGCAGCTATGGGAAAATGCTTGGTCTTTGCGTTAGCTGGCCCTCCCCACCAGCGGCCCCGCCATACTCCCGGACCACCGTCGATTAGGACGGGGGGCAACATGCATTCCTTAAATTGTGAGAGGTAGCTATGGTTGCAGGGCTCCCCTGGGATCCCCTGTATAGGCTTAGGTAGTGAAAAGGTCAAAATAAAATAATAGAATAAAAATAAAAATGTATGCCTGTGCAGCTGTGCTTGAAAAGCATGTACCTGGTTGTTGGAGCAGCCCCCTTGCAGTTGATGAGGGACTCACTCCACTTGCTTTCAGTGATTTCCTTTTTGTGTGGGTGCGGTGTGGTTCAGGCCCCAGGCGTCTTTCTTCAAGCGCTAGGCAAGGTTTGTGCTCTCTAACTACCACCACGAGTACCTGGTCATCGGACCCTTTTACAAACACTGCCAGGCTGCGAACTCGCGGTATAGCAGTTTGCAGTGGAAACCACAGTTCGTTTGCTGTGGCCACTCTCAGGGCATACACTTCCTCTTGTTTATCTGAGGTTATCCTCAATGGGAAGTTTGGACCGTACCCGGGAACTCCTACTGTCTTCCCCCGAACATAACGCATATGCTCTGTAACTGAATACACCACAGGTTGCATTGTATTGTGTTGTATAACTTGTATTTGTTTAGTTGCACATGCATTGTATATTTGTAGTCGAATTCACTTGGACAACTTTAGGTGGGTGCGGGAGGCCGGTACAGGCTGAGTAGGTTCAGTTTAGGGCAGCGGCAGAGGGACCTACCCAACGGTTTGTTACTTGGCGGGGCTGCTGCAGACGCTGGAGCAGAGGCCTCTACTGGTAGCCTCACTGAAAAGAAAAAAATTGTGGCAGTGTATCTTTCCATGTTCTAGCTGAAGATCGATTCTCCTTTTCCACACTTGGTGAGTGGTGGAGTGCCGCATAGCATCGCACTTAGCAGCAGCATGCTTCGCGCTGCCACTTTCTTGGCCTGTCAGCTTGTCAGACTAGGTGCGCTGTCTTGTGAACATCAGTGCACAGGTCACACACACACACACACACACACACACACACACACACACGCACAGAGAGAGAGAGAGAGAGAGAGAGAGAGAGAGAGAGAGAGAGAGAGAGAGAGNCACAGAGAGAGAGAGAGAGAGAGAGAGAGAGAGAGAGAGAGAGAGAGAGAGAGAGAGAGAGAGAGAGAGAGAGCTACAAATGAGTCCTCTATTCTTGTTTCTTGAGTTTGCTGTTGTGCCTCATGACATGTTGAAAAGAAACAATATGGCCGTGTATCTTTCCATAATTTAGCGGAAGATTCATTCTCATTTGCACAGTGGGTCAAGGGCCGTTATCTTTTTTTTCCCCAGTCCTTTTGATTTCTTTTTTTTCACCTTTCACTACCTACCTACCGCTACTCCTAAGGCTATCTAAAGGGGACCCCTGCAACACACAGACCGAGCATTTTTGCCAGTAGCTGCGCCTCCTTCTTCATCATTCCCCACCCCCCATCGAATAGCAGCAGTGTCTATGGTCAACACTCTCCCACACACCCTCTGTTCCATTCGACCTGAATGGTTCAGCAAAAAAGAGAGAAAATTTGCTGCAAAATCCTGCTAATGGACACAACCCAGGGTCCTACTCACACTCACAGTCACACCCGTGTTGGCCAAAAACCCAACTAGTACTGATCTGAGGTATCAAGCGGACTATCACAGCTGGTTGGCATCAAGTGTGCTGCAGGCGGTCATGGGGCTCAAACCCACAACCTCCTGAATACCACTTGCGCACCTAACCAACTGGGCTATATACATGCAAATCGCAGGCGCAGACCTCCCCCAAAAAAGGGTAATGTTCTATTCGAATACAACATTTTCTTTGCATGTGCATTCTATCCGAAGACGATGCAACCTGCACTCTATTCGTTCTCTTCAAAGAGAAAATGGAACTCTGGAAAATCGTTTTTTTTGTTGAAAACTCGAATACAACACATGCGTTATGTTGGGGAGAAGACAGTAGTGTGAGTTGCCCCCCTTTGCCCCGTTCACAGATTCCCCGACTAGTTGTTGGGCCCAACACGTCCGCATTTGAAGAAGGGGTTCGGTTCGTTCAAATTCGAATAGCAGCCTGACGCTTGTCGTGCCTTGTTACAGTGCCGGTCATCTAGTGTCGGCTTGGGCATCCTCATTGCGCCATCGTCATTATCATCGAATCCAGCGAAGGAGATGGTTGCGGTGAGTCAGTCCCTTGCCTCATTCCGACTCTTCATTCATACCCTTCCCCTGCAACCGTTGATATCTCCTGCTGTGTCTTTTCCCCATTTTCCTGGGTTTCCCTCCAGTGGCAGTATCGCATCAGTAGCATGTCGCACAAGCTTGATCCTCGTGCTAGATGTGCGCACAACCAGCTCTGGTTTATAAAGTTCGTAGGAGCGCGCTGCCGAAATGGAGACGGTGAAGCGAGTGTGTACATGTGTGTGTGTGTGTGTGTGTGTGTGTGTGTGTGTGTGTGTGTGTGTG